TTTTAATCGGAATTTAAGGGGACCATAAAATTGGGGTTTAGGTGTGGTGGTTCGTGTAATTTGAGGAGATTAAAAAATATAAATAAGAATTTTAAGCATATGTTTAAGAGGAGGGATCGAGCAAAAAAAAATTACCGAATTTAAGTTTTTTACCCCTTGTTCATGTCGGTGTTTATTACTTCCCAATTGATAAGGCCTCGGGCTCCTTATGAAGTAACCTAAATGACCAGAACGAAATACAATTTGGCAGTACCAAAGTCAAATAAGCACTTTGTTTTAATTCATCTTTAAACACAAAGCAAATTTAATGTAACCCTATTTGGCAAAGCTCGAGAGTATACAAATGCACTTCCTTTTTGTTTGGCAAGTTTCCCACGTTTCTAACAGGGAAGAGTGTTGACAAATTCGAGCATGAACATGGCAGATAATCTATCATGTTTCATGGAACGGAAACCAGACGTGTTTGAAGAGTGTTGAATGAAATTCCTACAAACTTTCGGCGCAAATTGCTTGTCTTGTATACCTGCGCAGGCTGTAAATTTCTCATTAGTGCCACCAGTATGCAGGGTAACCTATATAGGTACATGTTCCTTTGCGTGGATCAACGTATTATGTTGGTTTAAAAGGCAGTAAAGGAAAAACGATAACTAAGTAATCAGAAAATAAATTTATTTTTTATTATTCACATAGTATTTATTGTGAGGCCAACCCGAATCAATACCAAGTGTCGTGAGAGCTCATGCTGTTTTCGCTACCTCATATCATAATTTCATAATGTTAATAATAATAGTAACATGAAATACAAAAAAAAAAACAAGCAACAGGGGAAACTTCACGTTCGCTAAAGCCAAATCTGAAGTCCTTTGGAATCGGTAGTGCTTGTAGCATAATCAGAAGGGTCCTTAATCAACCACAATCACAATAGCAATTCTTTTTCATGTTCTCGCTACTCATCTAGCCGACATGAAGAAAGACCTATCTAATGACGACCAGCAATACAGTGGAAATTACAGTAATTTTTAATTAATGTATGGCCAACATAATGTCTTATTTGAACAAAAAAATTAAGACATCTAGAAGAACCAGATACTGTTTTACCTATTTAACTTGGTATGTAGTAGTAGTAGTAGTAGAACGAAATGGTGATGATGAACGAAATTAAGGTATGTAAAACACCTCTGATTTATAATTGATTATTGACATCCAAGCGGATATCTTTTGCACATTTGCTTAAATGAGTTTATTGCAATCGCAATGTCATACAAAAAGAACCTTTAGAATTTTTTTTTTATATCGTGGCACTCTGAATTTATAGTTTTGTCATTTTTTTGATCCACATTCAATTCTTAACTTGAAAGACATGTTGCTTTCCATTTTTGTACAAAATTTTGCATTAGACAAAACTTAAGGTTAGGGGATTTTGAAATAGGTTCCAATTTCTACTAATAGGGAATATATTACCATAAGTAAAATCATGTAACCCTTACAAAAGAAATGCTTCATCAGTATCTCAAAAAACCCTTTGGTTTTGCATCTACTCATATATTATAAGGATTATTATTAATTTTCTCTGTGCTCGTTTTTTCGGTTATGACGGTGATGACCTCTTTGGAATACCGCTACTCCTCTTTCTATTGTCTCATTCCATATTTCAGATAATCTATATAAACCCCGTTCCCTAATTTGATGACGCTACTCGTTACCCAACATCAGTTTCTAACAGTGTTGGCCATGCTTTGATTTTTAATAAAAAAATCAAAAATCATTGTTTTTTTTTTAAATAAAAGCCACTATAAACAATATAGTACAATATACACACTAAGTATTCGTCAGAACGCGCTTTTATTGTATTGTATTGTATTTAGTTGGTCAAAGGAGTGGAACTAGTGGAAAATAGAGCATTACGTGAAAATATTTAAATTTCTGGAAGAAAAGAAAATAGCCTACGGCAGGTTTACATTAAAACAACAGATCCAAATAAATCTGGGTGCAGAGCAAATGGTAAAATCTGCAAGAAAGAAATTCCTAGGAGAGTTCAAAGACTTAAAGCACACCATGATGTTTGTGATAATAAGAAGCAAGGCACGAATACAGCTAGGCATATAATATGTTGTTTATTATTACTCATTTCTTATTTATTTAACTTTCCATCTCATAAAAGGTATTGATAAAAACGGTTTCAAAAAAATTGAGGCATTTATTATTTATGTTAATGTTTATAATTTTTAGATACTTATTTTTATTTTTTGCGATACAAGAAAAATTATTTCGTATTCATATTCTAAAAAAAAGTTAACCGTATAAATTTAATAAAATCCAATAAACCCTTTAGTAATTTTTAATTATAATAATTTATGTTTTTAATGTTTTTATTTTCTCGCGACAGCTTTGGCAATCCGCAAAGTCCACACAAAGACGAGGTTCAAACAAAGAAAAAGAAAAAAACTGAAAATCAGCCTAATTCGAGTAGTTTCGTGATGCGATTATTAACAGCTGAAAGCGAAAAGATTAACAAACAAATAGCAGATGACATCTATGAGGAGGAAAAGGCAAAATATTTTTCTTCTCTGTCAGGGCAATGTATGAATATGTCCATTGATGGGTGGTCAAACGTCCACAATGAGATATGTGCAACAATAACAACTGAAATAGTTTGTGATCTAACTTCTTCATGTAAATCACAATATGACTGCGAGGTAAAATATTTTATGACAGATAAAAATCGGAGGAAAAGACGGACTCAAAAGTTATAACTTACGGTTGCTATGCACATGTTTTGAATTTACTACGGAAAAACTTACAAATACCAGACGTCGTGTAGACTAAATTGTTAAGTATTTTCGGGATAACCATCTGGCTAGAGCGAAATTCATTCAAGCAGGATTCAACGCTTTAGTCCTTCCAAGTGATGTGTGATTGTTTAAAGAGTCACTCAGTGGGATATATTATTATGAAGAAAACAAAAACCAAACTGATTCGAGCATTTACCAAAAGGCTTAAACATTCAGCACAAGAATATTTAAGCAATTTAAAAACAATATCAGTTGCTCTTGATATTTTGCGGAGAAAAATGCTACTATCTCAGATGCTGTAGAGCAGTGGAAACATTTACAATGTATCTTCGAGAATGTTGTAGAATTACCTTAATCAAAAATAAAAAAAAATCAGGATCGTTATAAGCAGGCACTCATGACATATCATTTTATAGGCTATATGTTGCACCCTCAAAAGCAAAAATATGAGTTAACACCCGAAGAAAAGAATCTGACTTTAGAAACAATTAATAATTTATATGGAAACACTGGACTTGCCATGCCATTATTAATGAAGTTGAATGACCACAGTTGCCCATTTAAAGTTTTCGGATGAAATAATAAAAAAAGTAAATGGAACTGCTTCCTCGGCGTCAGTAGAACGAACTTTCAGCACTTTCGGTTTTGTACACTCAGATATAAGGAAAAGGATGGGGATAGAAAAAGGGGGAAATTAGTATATGTGTTCAAACTATACAAATAAGAAGCAAAAAGTGTATATTATTATATGCCTTATTTCTTTGTGATTTGCGTTTTATTTGTGATAAAATTTTTGCGTTGTGCTTTTTGTGTTGGCCTCAATAAAAAAAAGAGTTTAAAAAATAGAGGTTTCATTTAAATCATGATTGTAAATTGAAAAAAATTAAAATCACTAAGTCAGTTGTTACATTGGTGCCACTTGTGAAGTCAACGCGACTTTCAAATTTAACCATGTAGCATCCTAAATCCTGATTAATTCCGGAAATTTGACAACAAATTCCCAAGTTATGTGAAAAATTAATATAAAAACTCACTTTGCTAAAGGTAAAACAAGGTCAGGCGTTTATAATTTTTAATATTTATGTGGATTTACAACAAAAAAAACTATTCCCTAATATGAGAAGTTTATTAAGCAGGGGAAGCAAGGTAATAATTTTAACTCCGCCCCTAACAGATGGCGACGAACCTGTTTAAACAAGGGAATTATTAACGCTTGGCTTTGTGATAATGTCATAATGATTTAAAGTGATTGATGAACTGATACTATAAACCAAATAGTCGATCCCTAACAATATGAAGCTTGAAATACTCATGTGCAATGTTCTGTTTTAATTTTATATCTATTCCTAAACTAGTCCATGCAATTCTAAGAAATGTTTAAGCAACATGGTTGCCGTGTAAGGTGCCAATTCAATATTCTGGCATTATCTTACGGCTTTTTAGTTATTATAATCCCGATTATAATAGACTCCTACATCTCTCAAAAGCTAGCCGAAGCGGTGCACTAAACAATCTCTCAGTTCGCTATCTATTAGTAAGGTGATAACGACCCAATTTCGATAAACATTACATAATTTGTGAATCAAAAAAGTACACTTGATAAATTAGCACACATCACTAGCACTGGTAGGGTAGGATTTAAATCCAAATAATTTTGAGGCAAATAGAAGAAAATTCTCACCGTACGTAGTAAGTAGATAATATCGCATTCCTACAAAATTTGAAAACAACGACGTACTTAACAACACTTTACACTTTAGATGTAAAGTTTACTACGGGACGTTTTCAAATCAATTATTTGATGCTTGACGTCACATGTGATGTCTATCGGAACGCCACTGACCTCTTAGTACAAAAATGCAAATACAGTCACATAATTGGCTAAATTTTGATCTGTAATAAAAATATTTTAAATTCACTAGGCTGATTCAAAGGGCACATGTTACCTTTCAAATTTAAGGAGCCTTGATTATTTTACGAAGAATGCATATCCTGAAAGTCCTCAAATAAGTGCCTCCCGTTTGGGCTGCTAAAAGATCTTTAGCATTCACCGTGAGGTTAAATCTTAACACCGCAATAGAATTTTAATATTTCATTTATCATGTACTAAAGATTGTTTGGTAATTGCAAAGGTAAAACAATACAGCCCCACGTGAGACAGGTGCCTTACGTATCTAGCACCGCCAAAAGCTACGAATTAGGTCGTACCTTGTATAAGTACTGATCGAACATCCTGCAAACATCAACGTCACTGCCGACGCAGTAAGTGGCCTCCATACTATCACAGTTCCCGATGAGAGTAGTGATCGAAGCCACGATCGGCTTTAAATGTTCCAGCGTTGTGGCGTTTGTTTCAAGTCCGGGGTCTTCAAAAAAATACTCTCAGACGATAGTAGTGTAGATACGCAATAATCCAAAAAAAACAACCAACTGTCACATATATATATACGAAACGAAAAACCCCACGAACAAAAAAACGCAAAATAAAAAACGTTCACTACGTCAACATTGGAACGGCAACAGCGAAAATGTTTGGAAATCCTGGAGAGCGCGACCCCCGAGCTTTCGGCTCCGGTGGTTCAACAAATCCGGTTACGCGGACAGCTGTTACGACTGCACCAGCATATCGCGTTCTCTCAGTTGGCTGTGGCGATTACGACGTTTACGTCACACGTTAACGCGAACAGACCGACACAGAAGTACGAGTTGGAATAAGCGCGCGAGCACTTCTTCTCCGCCGCCACCGCCACAGCGGCCCGCCTCCCCCCCGCGCGACCCCCGTTAGCTCGCGCGCCCCCCCCACCTTCGCGTCGTTCGACGGTCGAAAGCTGCGCCAAGGCGCGCGCCTTTCGGTCGGGGCCCGCGTCGATCCAAATCTCAAAAATCCATGAAAAAGGAATAAATAATATTATAACATTCTCCCTACCCCTCGCGGCGGCTCCGGCCGCCCCACACCCACCCCCGGGCCGCGACGTTTTAAGTTACGTGTGTCGCGCGGGCGTATGTGTGTGTGTATGTGTGTATGTGTACCGCCTCCGTGGAGATGATAAAGGGTCTTTCTGGACCAAGTGATAAACCACTGCTGGTAGAAACATCCCCAAGACATTACAATATAATACGGCAACATTCTTAAATATGCACCCACATTAAAGTTTTACTCATTATTTATTTATTTACTAAAGCAAGTCCACCCACTCCACGAAAATCCAACACTGAAGCAAGATGTAGCAATAATCTTTTGATATCATTTTTAAATTTGTATAATGGTAGGTTTGTCATATGAGGACGTAGGGCCATCAATAGGTCACGTTATTTGCGACCTCTCTTATTTTTCAACAAGGTTTTCATGGACATCTACCATTTAATCCTGTTTAATTTAAATTACGGCTAATATGCTCCTAAATAAGATAGATCTTAAAAGATATTTATGATATAATCACTAGAATAATATTCCATATTTTTATATCCTTGTATACCTTCTTCTTGGTATATAAGTTGTAGATCATCATGAGGTTCTTTCATATAAAAAATGGCTGTTTATTGACTCGAGTCAGATAGATTAATTGCAAGGTTTTGGCATGTTCGGCACTGCAGCCCATTGACCGTAATGTAGTTTGCATTTTTAATATCAGACCCAGCAGCTTCTATAATAGCATACCTCGTTGCCTCTGGTTTAGTTACTCCAAACACACAAAAACACACGCTTGATAAGTTTTTCACTGACATGACATCTGATTCTCGTTTCTTCTTCTTGAAAGCATCTACATTTGGGACTTTCATCCAGCCCAATTAGGTTGAGAAGCCTCTTGAGTAAGCAGTGAGCCTGTTGGTAGATTACCGTTAATCTTATTGCCTTGCTTTCGAAGTGTAGTAAATTTTGCCGAGAAATTTGAAGGAATCTACTGGTGTCGCTTTGGTTTATCTCTCGTTATCTTGATGGCTTTCGTACCCTGGTATAATACGACCAAAAATATAGTGCATTTATTGCTTTGAACTCTTAAGTATTTTACAGTAACTTCCCAACAGATGTTTATTCTGCATTAAGTAGATCTTGCCTGAGATGGGACGTAACGGATATTTGTAAAAACTTGAAATTTTTATGTGAAAAGTAAATGGACCGTTTTAAATCTGATTAGGCATTGTTGCCGCGTTTTTTTAGTAGAAGCGTTTATTTTAACAGCAGGTGATATGTATTGTTCTTAAGAGTGCATTATGTTCGTATTTATTACCGATGTATTTAACTGTGGCGCTTCCAGTAAGTACGTATTTATGCACCTGATTCTTGAGCTTTAACCCTGCGAGACTATTTTCACTGGCTGGTTCAAAGGGTAAAGGTAAGTATTCTATTTATCTACAGGTAAGTTTGAAAATAACCATTTTTGAGTATATTCGCGGTAGATAAAGGCACGTCGTAAGTATACAGATAAATATTTATTAGAATCTTACAATTAAACATTTTTTGAAGGTTCCTGTTTTTAAATACTTTAAAAAATTTGGAGACCGTGGAATGAAACAGATGGTCTCTTGTTGGAACAAGACATGGATGACAACGCAGAATTTGAAGACGAAGTGGAGATGGTAGTCGAAACTAATGACAATTTAGGAGACGAACTACCTCAGCAAATAAAAAAAATCAATCCATTTAAAGAGCGACACGCAGATCTAATTAGGCGTATAATCAACGACGCTTATAAAGTGAACATTAGTTGCGCCAAAGAGTCGTTGCGTACTTTTTTGACGAAAATGGATTTTCAGTTCCAAACAAATAATAAAAGTCAAGCGCTAATGGAATCTCAAAGAATTTCGCAAAACAGGCCAATAGTGTATTTGGACGAAACTTCGTTCGAAAATCACGACAGTAAAAAAAGGATGGTATAACAGTTCAAGTGTGTACTGGACGTGCCATCTTCACGTGGAAAACGCATAATAATTTTTCATGCTGTGTCCAAAAATGGTTGGGTGGAAGATGCTTTTTTTTTTGTCTGCCAAAAACTTCAAAGATTCAAGTATGGATTACCATGAAAACATGACCGCAGAAATATTTTAGGACTGGTTTGAAAATAAACTGTTCCCAAAACCTAACTAACCAAAACTAACCAAAACTAACCAAAACCGTTATGGTGTTGGATAATGCCTAGTATTATTCAGCTCAAATTAGAAAAAGTGAAAATACTTCTTCAAATGAAGAAGAAATTAAAGAATTTCTGTACCAAAATGATTTATATTTTGAAGAGAGCTACACGAAAAAACAACTTATGGTATTATTAAAAATAAAACATTTTAATAAAGATTACAAAATCGATTCGATAGCACAACAAAACGGACAAGACATCTGGTATATTTAACCTCATTGAGATGATTTGGTCTGAGTTGAAAGCTCATATAAGAAGAAAAAACACTGCACCAAAATTTAATGTTAGTACCATAAACGTCATTGGGCAAGAGGTAGGTAAAATATAAGTACAAAGCTGGTCCAACTGTGAAAAACGAGTAATAAAAGAAAATCTTTATCGAGAACGATTAGTGGTGGAGTTGATCATTGAACTAGGCGATATTGACGATTTTTGAAGTGACTAATACTTTATTATTATTATATTTAACATTTTGCATGTTAATAAGGATACTTATTTAGAAATGAAAAGAAATACAACGAAATTGCTCGGCGTAAAAGATTGAAAACATACGTATATCCCGGTTGTTAGTGTAGGTTAGTTAGGCCGGTCCTGGAAGGGTTGCGGGTCTGCTCGGCAGGGTGTTCTACAAGGTGCTCCGTTTTTGGAGTAATAAACAGTAGGCAAAGTTAATCACGGGGTCGGTTCTAAAAGCACTATATTTCTGGTCTCGGTATACCTGGTCATTTATTCCTATTTCGATTGGTCCATTATGACATTTCAGGTCGACTAATTAGTTCCGAATATAAAACAAGACATGTAACCTGAGCCCAATCGAATATCACAAAGCAAAACGTCAGATAAGATAATCCAGATAAACACAGACATAAAGAAATGTATCCAGAAAACAAATTTACATGCCCTCACAACTTTATAATTATTATGAACACTATTGAAACTTACGCAATCGTAATGATTTCCTTCAACTGATTCGAGAATCATATTCCCTTTCTCATATTAACTTTCATTAAAATTATGTGACTGCAAGAGAGCAAAATCGCTGAAAACATAATTAAGTCGTATAAGTTAAGCAGAGAAGAGAAGAGCATCATTAAAAAATCACCGCTGTCAACGTTCTCGGTGGGAATATTTTTAAATATACGAGTGTGTTTCGAATGACCTTCTAATGAGAGTGGTGGTCGTTCGCCGGCCCTTTCTGTCAGTGTCTTCTTTCAAGGTCGACAACGAATGGACTGAAATAAAAATATTATATTTGTTGTATCGGTTGAACTTACGCAACGCCACTCGCTGCCCGTTTTACGAATAATAAAGTTTACCGAGTATTATAAGTGAATTTTAATCTGTTGATATGCCGTTACGCTGATATCCCGGAAGTTAAAACGTGTACGTAATGGTCGAGCACAATTGTACAGAAATTCGTCGAACTAGACGAAAATGTATTAAAATAAAAAATACGAATAAATGTTAGCTTGCCTGCTTCCGTACATAAAACACTGCATCTTCTTCTATCGCTTAAATTTAAAAACAGTTAATCTGCACAGTCAATTTTTATTCAACAGATACCATAAACTATAAAGTAGGGCTTCCCGTTTGCTTTATATTCTACATTTCAACACGGTTAGTTATTTAAATATAATTTCGTTGGAAAATAGTTTTGGATAGAGACAAGGCCTTGGACAAATTGCTGTTGGCCGTACAAAGTAACTGACAATATTGTATTTCTACCAAAAAAAAAAATGAAAAGAAAAAACTTAACCCTTTACCTACTTTTCTTTTTACCCATCTATGATTGTAGAACTGTTTATTTTCAAGTTTGTACTATCAATATTTATAATATTTTTCTACTTTCTTCTGCAAAATACATAATTATACATCCATCTAGCGTGCGGCAAGCGTTACTGAGTTTTGAAACAGTCATTTACTAAACTAGTAAAATTGTTATCATCTGTCTTTGGGGGAGTTTTGGTTTAACCCTTATTTGAAGGTACTACATAGTGCTTGAGTGAAATGTTGGAGCGATAATTTCTTCACTATAGTTTTTTCTTTTTTTATTTATCGAAATATATTTCTACCGATGTCATGTTATTTCGTGAACCCTGCGTGAATTTTAACCGACTTGACAATCCAGTCTCGTAGTGTCCTATGGTCTTTTTCTCGTCATTTTGTCGGCTGAGGCTCTTAGAATTTAATTCCTTTATTTAACGATGGCTTCGAATAAATCTTCCAGCTCTTTGGTGGTTTTTATCCTCCAATTTCCTGTCGTTGCATTACGTGTCCCAAAGTTTTGTGGTGGATATTTCTTTCCCGAATTAAAATAAATATTTTAATAATAATAATATCGGTAAGCCGTATACGACTTTGCGGCTAAAGGTGATTTATGTCAACAAAAAAGTCAATGTGAAACGGGATTTCGAGAAATGGTCAATAATAGACGCAAATGATGCAAATACACAAACGTAAAATATGAAACTTAAAAAAGATACACGATTAAAAAAAATATACCGAGACTCCAAATCCCCTGACCGATGCGTATTTAATTCGCCTCGCATTCGCCCTTATTTGTTCGCATTCCTGCTAAATTTGC